GAGCGATCCAATACGCTTGCCCGCCTCCCCACAGCCATGGGTACGGTAGCACCCACGTCCTGCCCGGTACCGGAGCAGGTTCTCGGACCAGTGCTGGTCAAAGTAAATCCCTCCTTGCTCTTTGGGCCCCCTTTTTCTCCCAGAAGCCCGCAGGAGCCTGCAGCGAGCAGATTTCAAGGATTTAGGGGGCTCCAGGCCGGTCCTAGGGCAGACTTAGCCCGAAATTTGGGTTTGCTGCCTGCCCGGTCCCCGTTCTGCCCTGCTCTGCCCTGCCCCTGCGCCCTGTCTGCCCCTGCCCTGCCCTGGCCCTGCCTAACTGCCCTCCCTGCCCTGCCCTCCCTCTTGCGTACTTCAAGAACGATTTTGAAAGAAAGAAGAAAGCCATAGAATGAGTTTAGAGCTAAACCCTAAAAGGAATAGGTTTGGGTGGTTTAGCCGCCTCAGACGGCGTGGGGTGGGAGAGTAGAAAGGAAGAGCCCTCGACATTCAGGCTCCAACAACGAATCGTCAAATCACGATACACTCGAAACTGCACAATCGCTAGATACTTCCGCTCATGCACCATTCTACGGCAGACCCCAAACCCCAAACCCTAAACCCCAAACCCTAAACCCCTAAACCCTAAACCCCTAAGCCCTAAACCCTAAATCCCTGAAGCCCTAAACCCCCAAACCCCTAAACCCTAAACCCCCAAACCCCTAAACCCTAAACCCCTAAACCCTATAACCCTATACCCTAATTCCTTAAACCCCTAAACCCAGTTCCGAGGCTCCGCACATGGCCCCAGAGCAGCAAAGCAGGCGCTAGAAGGAGGGCCCTCATCTCCCAGAGAGCCCAAGGGGCCCCTTTATTAAGGAGTATACCTTAAATTATAGGGGCCTTAAAGGGGATCTATAAGGGTTTCTTTCCGGGAATTAAGGAAAAGACCTTAAATTATAGGGGCCCTTAATATTATGATTTAAGGTATAGACCTTAAATTATAGGGGCCCTTAATATTATGATTTAAGGTATATTCCTCAATTAAGGGGGTATTGGGCTCTCTGAGATCATCCCCGGAGACCCAGAGAGACTCCCTGAAATTTGGGGGTTTAGGGATGTTTAGGGATTTCGGGTTTTAGGGTTTATAGTGGGTTTATAGAGATTTTGGGTTTAGGGGATTTAGGGTTTAGGGATTTAGGGGTCTAGGGGTTTAGGGGTTTAGGGGTTTAGGGATTTAGGGTTTCGAGGTTTTCAGACTGAAATTTGGGTTTAGGGATTTAATCCACGCCAGGACGTAGTGAAGCCTCATGTTTGACGGTTAAGCTGTCTAGTGATGTAGGCTCAGGAAGTCTTGTACTTGGGTCGGCTCGCCGACAAGTCACGTCGGGCAGGGTGATAGCAGCTTATGGTTTCGGGGTTTTGGGTCAAGCCCACCACAGTCTACAGAAGAGGAACATGCTTCTGAGGGTAGCACCGAAGGGGCATGCGGCGGAGCTTGTTCCGGCTTGCATGTTCGTGTCTGCGGGTCTCTGATGCTTCGAGCAAAAGGCACAAAAGATACACTAGCTAATGTCGGGGCCTGAATAATTAGAATAGGGTTTTGGGGCCCACTATACTATAATTATAATAAGGAACCCCCAAAATAATATAGGTAATTATTTAGGCCCCTATATTAGCAGCGAGCTTACCTCATGAACCTGTGCTCAGTTCCCCTCATCTTTGGCACGCAAGCCTTCCGACTACTGCCTTGCCTCGTGTCGCCAGACTCACCGAGCACTGAGCAATGACAAAAGACGTATATTTACATGAGTGTATTGCACCCTTCCAGCAAGAAAAACGGCTTCGCAGACTTCATGGTCGTGGTTGAAAGACCATTCTCCCCACTTCCATGTTGAAGAATACCGCAGTGAGGAATGCTTCTGACGCGGTAGTGGGTTTGCTTACATCCTCGCATCATCTTTCTCGTACCTATCGGTAACCACAGCCGGCGAACTCAACCCTGAGCCGTCCATGGGGGAAGAACCAGAAGGTCCTCTAATGTAGGGGCCTTAATACTTAGAATAGGGTTTTGGGGTATATTATATTCTAGTTATCATAGGGAACTCCGACACAAGTCTTGGCCAGCATTTAGGCCCATGTTATCCTTCGAATCTCTGAATGCCTAGAAGGTCATACCGTTTGGATCATGTGGGAACTTCAAGCCTAAGACGTGAAACTTTAAATTGAAAACCCCAACATCCGAAAACCTAAGACCAAGAATACTCGAAAACTGAACATCTCACTGTTACCCGAGTAGGAAAGATCCTCCATGGGTTTTGATGGTGGCCACCCTCGTGCCAGTAAACCTCACCCCCTATTAACCCTGAGAAAGCTTTTTGTCAACGCTGCGATGGGAACCATGGAAGATCGCGAGCTAGGTTCATTCCGAGAGTGTACACGAACCTAGGACAACTGGGTGACACAGGCGATGACAAAGAGCCGTCCACACCCAAGCACGATCGGACTCTTGCCGCCAGGGCCTCATCCAGGTGACATTGGCCTTCGGCGCAATCGATGCAGATGATCGGCTTGATACTTAACCAAATCCCAACTGAAACGATGTCTTGCTCTTCCAGTCGTTCCGTGACCCACATAGCCAGCTTCTCGCATGTACCCCGCATGTCGACCAGGAGAAGTTGTAGAGGAAAGTCTGTGGGCTCGGTTGCGGCTACTTCATTTCCCAGCGTCGGCAGCTCGTAATTCCAAAAAACGGAGTCGTGGAGCGACCACTTTTCCATTCGATCCAGGCCTTTGTTCAGGACAGCCACCACCGAAGACTGCTTCCGCAAAGCCATTCCATGCACAAAGGCTTGGCTAGCGCCGGTCCAGAAGTTCACAACCGGACCCTTGTCCCACATGCGCCATTCTTTGAAGCAAGGCGTGGAAGCACCTGGATCGTCTCTGCACCCAAGGAGGTCGTTGTTCTTCTGGACCACTCTGCCCAGAACGGTGCTGGGGTGCACGATGCTCGCGTCCACCATGTCAGCAAAGGCCTCCAAGGCCGTCTGGTTGAGTCCTCGCGGATCGCCATCGTAAAAGCCCGCCCATAGCATCGCTTCTTTGGGTGCAGAAGCTAGTCTGGCAGTTAATGCCCCGAGCCTCTTGTCCCCAACAAACCACCCAAAGAGGTCCTGGAGGCATTCTTCCTCGGAAGCACCTTCTATCTTCGTACATTCCCCAAAGAGGCCCTCCAATAGTCCTTTTACCTCACTTCGGCACCGGTCTTCCATACTTCTCGTCATGATGGCCATCAGGGTGTCCAAGGTGTCCGGCGCAGACCAATTGCCCCAGCAGTCCTGCTTGCCAAAAAATCGTGTCAAGATTCTAGATTAAACTTTGCAGGCTGGCGTTATGCTTCAAGCACTTGTCGCAAAGAAAAACGTGAAAGTGTGTGGGTGGCTCCCTTGTCTCAATGTCCTCCTCACGGGATATGGAGAAATCTCTCGCAGCCCGGATCGCGACGGCAGGGATGGCGCCGAAGGCCAAACACGCCATGGTTTTGAAGGAGAGCATGATGGATGGGGTTAGCAGAGCACGGGGTGTTCGCAGGGCCAGGGCAATGCTGAGCCTAGAAGCTCCGGTTATAAACAACCTGAACGGTTTAGGGTTCCGGGTTTAGGGTTTAGGGTTACACGGTAAGCTGCCATGAGATGGGAACCTAGGAAGATGTGCGAGACTTGGGCTGCAACATCGGGGGATCAACGGAGCACATCTTTCTGTTAAGCGCCATACAAGTATGGACACTTGGGTCGGCGAAACCAGTTGCGAACCGATGACAGCCAGTCCTTGCCCAAACACGATCGGACTTTGGCGGCCAGGACCTGATCCAGGTCGCACTGCCCTTCAGGGCAATCGAAGCAGATGATCGGCTTCTCCTCTAAGAGCTGTAGAACCTTTCTTGGCTCCAGCTGAGCCAATTTCAGTTCAAACGTCACCAGATGCACCAGCTTGTTGCAGGTTCCCCGCATGTCGACCAGGAGAAGCTGTGGACGAAAGTCAAATTCGTACCTGAGTGCGCTGCTTGCCACTTCAATCGCTAGTGTCGGCAGTTCGTATTGCCAAAACACAGAATCGTAGAGCGACCACTCTTCCATTCGATCCAGGCCTTTGTTCAGGACAGCCACCACCGAAGACTGCTTCTGCAAAGCCATTCCATGCACAAAGGCTTTGCTAGCGCCGGTCCAGAAGTTCACAACCGGACCCTTGTCCCACATGCGCCATTCGAGGGTTTGAGGGTTTGAGGGTTTGAGGTTTTTCGGGTTTAGGGTTTAGAGCTTAGGTTTAGGGTCTAGGGCTTAGGGTTTAGAGTTTAGGGTTAGGGTTTAGGGTTTAGGGGTTTAGGGTTTAGGCGTTTAAGCTTTAGGGGTTTAGGGTTAGGGTTTAGAATTTAGGGTTTAGGGTTTCAGGGCCCTTACTTCACGTAGGAATTTAAACGTCATAGCTTAATGGGCATCGGTCATAACTGTATGGGCACGTGCCTAACTTATTGGGCATGTGTCTAGCTTAGTGGTCTTCGGTCAATCTCTAAACCCTAAACCCTAAACCCTACCCTAAACCCTAAACCCTAAACCCTGGGGTACAGGCTCTACGGTTCAGGATTTAGGCCTTAGGGCCTATTCAAGCCTTCGGGTTCAGGATTTCAGCCACAATATAGGGTTTAGGATTTAAGCAGTTCTCTAAATTCGGGCCCCTTTTAGGTCCCCAATATAGTACGGCACCCTTATTAAAAGGACCCTGAAAGGGACCCCAATTTTGAGAAGTACCCATTTAAGCAGCAAGGATTTTGGCGGGGGGTTACCCGCCGAACATCTCAAAACAAACAGCCTTTCGATTTTCGGGGTCTCGAACATATTCACTCTCGAAGTCCTGAGTTTAGGGTTCAGGGTTTGGGGCTGAGTACTGCATCGCATCGAGAAGACTGGGATCAACAGAGCGCATCTTGCTGTTAAGCGCCATACAAGTATGGACACTTGGGTCGGCGAAACCAGTTGCGAACCGATGACAGCCAGTCCTTGCCCAAACACGATCGGACTTTGGAGGCCAGGGCCAGATCCAGGTCGCATTGCCCTTCGGGGCAATCGAAGCAGATGATCGGCTTCTCCTCTAAGAGCTGTAGAACTTCTCCCGGCTCCCACTTAGCCGTTCTCAGTTCAAACGTCACCAGATTCACCATCTTCTGGCAGGTGCCCCGCATGTCGACCAGGAGAAGCTGTGGACGAAAGTCAAATTCGTATTTGAGTGCTCTGCCTGCCACTTCATGCGCTAGTGTCGGCAGTTCGAATTTCCAAAACACCGAGTCGTAGAGCGACCACTTTTCCGCTGGATCTAGGCCTTTGTTCAGGACAGCCACCACCGAGGGCTGATTTTTCGCAGCCATGCCCTCTACGAAGGCACGGCTTGCGCTGGTCCAAAAGTTCACAACCGGACCTTTGTCGATCCACCATGCCTTGAAGCAAGGTGTTGAAGCGCCCGGATCGCCTCTACAGCCAACGAGGTCGTTGTTCTTCTGCACCATTCTGCCCAGAATGGTGCTGGGGTGCACGATGCTCGCGTCCACCATGTCAGCAAAAGCCTCCAAGGCTGTATGGTTGAGCCCTCGGGGATCGCCATCGTGAAAACCCGCCCATAGCATCGCTTCTTCAGGCGCAAGGGCTAATTCGGCAGATAAGCTGTCAGAAACGTACGCCCCTGTAAACCACTCGAAGAAGTCCTGCAGGCATCGTTCTTTGGAAGCCCGTTCCAGCTTCATGCATTCCTCAAAAAGGTCTTCTATGAGCCCTTGCACCTCACTTCGGCACTGCCTTCTCAAGTTCTTCGTCATGATAGCAATCAGGGTGTCCAAATTGTCGGGTCCAACCGGTGCAGCGAGATCAGTATTCCAACAGTCCTGCTTGCAAAAACTCGTCTCCAGATTCTAGACTAAAGTTGTGGGCTGGCTTTCTGCTTCAGTCACTTAACACAAAGAAAGCGTGAAACGTGAAAGCAGGCAGGAAGCCGGGTTTCAATGTCCTCCTCATCGGATATGGAGACTTCTCTGGCAGCCCGGATCGCGACGGCAGGGATGGCGCCGAAGGCCAAACACGCCATGGTTTTGAAGGAGAGCATGATGGATGGGATTAGCAGAGCACGGGGTGTTCGCAGGGCCAGGGCAATGCTGAGCCTAGAAGCTCCGGT